AGTTCTCCCTCCCTGGGGACAGCATGGATGTCAGGGTGTAAGCCTTGCAGTGTGACAGCATGTAAATGCCAGCACCCCCCAGTAGGGGTAGGGACCTTGCAGCCTTTGGATTTCAAGATTATTCTTTTTTTCAAGATTTATTCTCGCCACAAAGGAGGCGAGAAAAACTTCATCTTTTTCTGCTGCACCCTTTTAATGAAAAGGTTGTTCTGTAAAATTTGGATCCAGTCAAAAGGCCACACTTCAGGACCTTAAGGACCTAGAAAGCCACATGTGGCCTTAAGGCCACAGGTTTCCCACGCTGTGAGGGATTTCTGGAGCAGTCAAGACTGAGTGTTATGATCCTGAGCTCCTCCAAACCTCTCCAGGGAGGCTGATACGTGTATGTCTCATACACAAACACACCCACCCCTCTGAGAGGCTTACAGACACACATACACATCCCCACACATGCACATAACTTACGTATGCCCACACAAATTGAAAAACATATACCCCACATGAATTCACACCAAACAATACTCCCCACCACATCAACTACATTTCCTGACCCTACCTTCTTGCCCCAAAGCTGATATGCCCTGTCTCAGACCCATCGTAATCCCTAGTCTATCAGAGACCCCAAACCCCATTCAATACTAAGTATTCACTTTCTAAATACTTCATGAGCATTATCTCATCTAATCATCACAATGACACGAGGAGGGAGGAAATGTTATAATCCTCATTACACAGATGTGGAAATAATGGATCAGAGAGGTTACGTGATTTGTCCAGTGTAACACTGGACAATAACTCTGGGAAATAACAGAGCCAGGATTTGAACTCAGGTCTGTCTGAACCCCAAACTCATGCTATTTGTGCTGTTTAGAATGTACCGTATATGTGTATGTAACATATACACATAACAGAGCTTTATAAACTATAGAGGGCTTTTAAGATGTAAGTCAAAATTATAATTTCTAGTAATTTGCATTTCTGATAAAAGGTATCCATGATAAGAGCCCAAAGTACTATAAAACTTGGTCATTCTGGCTCAGTGCCCGTACCACAGTGGTTACAGTGCCAGCCACGTACACTGAGGCTGGCAGGTTCGACCCCAGCCCAGGCCGCCTAAACAACAATGACAACTGCAACAAAAAATAGTCGGACATTGTAGTGGGTGCCTGTAGTCCCAACTACTAGGGAAGCTGAGGCAAGAGAGTCGCTTAACCCCAGGAGTTGGGGGTTGCTGTGAGCTGTGATGCCATGGCACTCTACTGAGGGCAACCTAGTAAGACTCTGTTTCAAAAAAAAAAACCTGGTCATTCCAAAATATCAAAGAGATGATGTATTTCTATGAGAAGGGTTTAACACTACTGTGTACCCCTGTGAAAGCAATTAATCTCTGAAGGTCACAAAAAGGCTTAGAAAATATAATATTCATAAAGTATTTAGAACCAAAGTGGATGCTCAGTATTAAATGGGGCTGGGCGTCTCTAATAGAACTAGGGTTTACGATGGGTCTGAGACAGGGAGTATCAGCTTTGGAGCAAGAAGGTAGGGTCAGGAAATGTAGTTAATGTGGTGAGGAGTGTCGTCTGGTGTGAATTAATGTGTGGTATGTGTTTGTTAGTTTGTGTGGGCATATGCATTGTGAATTGACAATATTCATTCCTGGGTTCATTCATCCTGGGTTGTCCCTGCTTGATGGGCAGGACAGAGATACTCCAACACACCTGGAGGTAGGCTCTTTCCCCTGTCAAGTCTGTAGCTGGGGTCCCTGGACAGCATGACCCCTGGAAAATACCTCCTGGGCATGAAAACACAAGACTACCCAAGTCTCCTGTAAGGCAGAACATCCTTGGTGCTTGCCCAAATCCAGCCTCTCACACTGCCCTCCTCTAGATTAGCTGAAATGGATGGTAGAGCCCAGCCCCCCCCCCCCCCCCCCCATCCACACCACACAGTCAGTACAGGATAGGCAGGCCCAGCCAGGCTTCTGTTGGACAAATTAAATGGAGCCAGCTTGCCAGGATTATGGAGGCGTTCTCGTTGAGATGTCCAAACAGAGGTGGGCAAAGTATAGATCCAAGACCAAGAGGCTCCTCCAAACGGCATTGGCGTCACTGGCAGATTCATTACTGGAAGCCTCATGGGGCATTTAATCTCTTAAGTATCTCCAGGGCGGTGAGCACTTCAGAGGCTAATTCATCTTCTTTGTCTTCATTACCCAGAGCCCTCTGATCACCTTAATCCTCCCTCCGCCACAGGAAAGAGTCATTTGTTTCTTTAATGGGTGCACTCTCACTAGCTAAGTGGTTGCTCTGAGCCAGGGCAGAAGGTGAATTCATCCTGAGGACAGTGGGAGCCGTGCCTGGCTCAGACACGGGTCACAGGAGAAGCTCTGGACTCCAGATGCAGAGAGAACTATCCTCCTACAGCTTGACCATTTCTCCCACCCCTGAATGCCTTCTTTCCAAGAATCCGTGAGGCTTCAATAGGAGGATCAGTCACTCCTTGAAATAAGAATGGGGTCTCTGCACATAGAGTCACACGGTGGCAGAGCCAAAAGAGGCTACACCCATTTTACAGGTAGAGGAACTACTCTCTGGAGGCTCCCATTCCATGCTGTGTGCCATGCGTTCAAAGGCCCCAATAATAACACTGACAGTGGCTTCCCCTGATTTAGTAGTTTCTCTGTACCTGAATCCATGCTAATAGTTTATATTTGTTAGTTTATTCAATTATTTCAACTTTATAAAGTGTGTATTATTTGTCCCCATTTTACAGATGAAGAAAGTGAGGCTCAGAGAAAAATGCCGAAGGAGGAATGATTATTAACAGTAGACGAGCTTCGAACTCAGGTCATCTGACTCTAGAATTTCTGTTCCTGTTGCCCCACTACTAGATCTTATAGGAAATGACCAGAGTCGGCCATAGGAGAAGCATTTGAAGGTGAAGGGACCTGAACTCATGTCAGGCAGGTGAGAGACTCAGCCACTGGTGGTATCTCACTGAAGTAAGACAGAGCACAGTGCAGGCCCTCTGGCCCCTTCCCCACAACCAAAGGCTATGACTACAGTGGACACTGGGCCTGGCCCCCTCAGGAGGCAATTGGGCCAACAGCCAGCCCATTGGACCACCACTCCTTATCCTTGGTACTGACATACCTTGTCTCTGTGGAGGCGTGTCCAACTCCTAAGAGATCAGACTGGAAAGGAAGTCTGGAATCATATCACACACAGTTTGGAAGGCCAAGCTGAGGATTTATTGGATACTTCACTATTTGTGCTCTTCCTTGGAGCATCAGGTTTGGAAAGTAATGATATTCATCATTTATGGAGAACTTGGTAGGGACTGAGCCATATATCATGTTCTTACATGTATCATCTCCCTCACCCTCATAATAACCATGCAAAGTGGATGCTAGTATCCCAATTAACAGAGGAAAAAACCAGCACCCAAGAGTCTTTGACTTGCCCAAAGTCACCCAATAACTGGCCAGGACAGAGTCAACACCCTATCTCTGTGATCCCACAGCCTCACTGCCTCCTACATGTCATTTTCAAGGATGGCAGAGGATGAGAGTCAAAGTTCAAAGTCTAAATCGGGGTTTAAATTTAATCAGGTAAGTTACTTGACAGCCACATGATTTTCACACATCCTCTTGCACCTCAATGTTGTAAGCTATAAAATGCATCAGATCTCACCAGTGTCCTGGATTATTAGAACCCTCATATGCAAATGCTTAGATACTAGAAAGTGCTCTCTGAATGGGAGCTTTGATGGTTAGCTGCCCTTACACAGATCCGAAGGATATGAAACAACTGACAAAGTGCCATCCTGCTTCTTCCTTTTTAGACCCCAAACAAGCATTTGGGGAATTTCACCAAGGGAGCCAGCTTTGGGCTAGAGGTCTTAAGAAATCTGGAGAACATGGGTCATGCCCTCTGAGTAGAAAAAAAAAAATCACATGAAAAAATTAAGAGGAATAAATATCATTTAGGTAAGTCAACACTGCACTGTGAGGTATGCACTTCCAGTCAAGGAGACAATTCCAGAGAGCAGAAGCCATCAGGGAAGGCTCTCCTAGAGCTGTTGGGGTGGGAGCCAGAACTCAGAGCTGTGGCAGCTTCAGCTAAGAGATGAGGCTGGAAGGAACAGAAGGGCTATGGCTAAAATGTAAATAAAGAGAAGCTGGGGTAAGGGATAGAGGCTCCTCTAACTTAGAGCTCAGGTTCCTGATGGAATTTACAGGGACCTATAACCCCTCTGATTACCACCCCCACTGTGGTGGGGAAATAGAGGCCACGGGTAGCCAGAGGTAGGATAGGATAAAATTCCAGGACAGCCAAGCTCAAAGAGCCTTTTAAACCTGATTCAATACTTGCAAACATTTTTAGTAGTAAGGCCCATTTTTCCAGCAAACAAAACTTTTCACAGAGACCAAATATATATATATATATATATATATAAACATTGTGTCTGATGTGGAAGTTGAGGCCCAGAATGAAGATCCTGCTCTAAGTTCCTCTCCTTTATGGAGGCCAAGAGGGAAGCAAATCACTGCAGGGTACATCAGATGGGCACCCACATGACTGGGACATCGGCCTTTGGAGGAAGTCCAGGCACTTTCCCGTGGATCTTTCTGCCTCCGGGGATGGGCATTCTGAATGGACACAGAGGAAGACCCTATTGTGGTTGGGGCAAGAAGAGGGGGCGAGGTGCTCAAAGAGAGGCTCCAAGGTCAATGAGAGATGTCGAAAACATATCCTTTTACCTTCCTACAGAAGGCAAAACTCAGAATGTCAGCAAAAGAACCTAACAAGACTGACCGAGTGCTGCCAGGCCATGTGTCCCCTTGCCCCAGAAACCAAGCATGGGCCTCCTCCCTTTCTCCCCATGGTGATGGAGCACAGGCCTCCTCCCTTTCTCCCCATGGTGATGGAGCACAGGCCTCCTCCCTTTGTCTCCACGGTGACAGAGCACGGGGGGGTGCTCCCTTCCAAGCTTCTCACCTGGTCCCGGGTGTAAGGCGTGTCCACTCTCTGCTTGTCACCACAGGCTTCCAGGAGGACGCGGATAGCATTCAGCTGCAGTAGCATCTCACAGGCCATTGTGTCAAAGAAGGTGATATTGGCAAGGGCCGCAGAGGCCAGCAGGAAGACTTCCCCCGATGAGGCCTCTTGGCACAGTTCTGGATGGCAAAGCAGAAGAAAACAGCTTCAGTGCCAAGTGTTTTCTTATCAGTTCTCTCATTTGGTTTCTACAATAGCTCTGGGAGATCAGCTGGGCAGATGTTACAAAATCCAATTTACAGATAAGGAAAGTAGTTAATGGAGAGGAAAAAGTGACTGTCTACACAGTTGGCAAAGCTGCGATTTGAGAGCTGGTATGTGACTCTTACTCATGCCTTCAGACAACAAGAATTGATCTTGGAATGGCACATGAATAAAACAGGTCAGGTCCTTGCCCTTGCTGAGCTTACATTCTACTAGGGTGCAAGAGAAAATGAACTTTTTTTTGCAGTTTTTGGCCAGGGCTGGGTTTGAACCTCCCACCTCTGGTATATGGGGCCGGTGCCCTACTCCTTTGAGCCATAGGCGCCGCCCGAGAAAATGAAATTTTAAACATAAATAATCACATATTCCAGTAACATGAGAGAGAAAATAAATAATGCCAAGACAGAGGATAAGTAGGGGCTACTGAGATGCATCAGGAGGGAACCCCTAAAAGTATGACTTTACAGCTAAGCTCTGAAGGAAAGAATGTTCTAGACCACAGGAACAACATGTACAAAGCTGTGAGGCAGGAAAGAGGTCTTGCCCTTTACCATCTCTGGTAATGCAAACCAAACTGCTAATTTGCCTTAAGGAAGGCTAAAGGTAAGCAAAGCAGCTCCACGCCCCCCCCCCCCACACTTACACCTGACACGTTCCCCTTTGGGCCCCACAGGGTCTGGGATGGGCCCCAGGGGGAAGCATGAGAGGCTCTGTCCATGGGCCTTCCCCCAGCCCAATGAATGCGACTTTTGACCCTCAGCTTCAACTTAATCACCCATCAAGACCCTTCCCAGGTCCAGGCCTCTCCTACTGATAACCCCTCTATTAAACCGCAGGAGGAGAGACCACATTTCAGGAAAACAGCCCCAGGGAGAGAAAGCATGAACAGCCTCAGGAGAAAGCGTAAACTCTGCTCTGCCCTGCTCCCTACTTCTCCTCTGTCTTCCTCTCCCACAAAGAGTCTGTACTTCCAGGCTCTGATGCTGCACCTGACACCTCTTGGCACCTTCCCTTGCCTCACTTACTGGTCCCTACCTACAAAGGGACAGATAACACTACTCACAAACCCGCAGTGGGCCACATGCTGTGCCACTACATTCTGAGCACTCTCAAATAGAAAAGACTTGTCTCCACTTAGGACCTGCTGAGTCTCAGAGAAGCTTCTGGTAGCCACAGAAGCCACCATGCATGGGCGTATACTCCATGCCAGTCACTGCTGTACCTATTTTTACCTCATTAAATCATTTAATCCTTATAACTATCTGATTTTTATCACTATTTTATAAATAAAGGCATTAAGGGTTTGCATGTTAAATGTTTTGCCCATGATCTTATGGATCTTATGGCCAGTAAGTAATTATTGGAGGCTAGAATCAAATCCAGGTCTTCCCAACCTGTTGTTTTGTTTGTTTGTTTTTGGTTTTTTCTGTATTACAGGTTCCTTCTTATATTTCAGGCTTTTCGACTGATTCCCAGTAATGCTCCTGCAAACCTAGGCTTCAGTCCTATCAGAAGGGTAATGCCTGGCTCTGGGCACCTCTGCTCCCCACAGCCCCTGAGTGATCCCTCACAATCATGATCTACTCTCCCAGGGCTGAGAGAACAGCTTAGCCAAGGAATTAAGACCTCTGTGATTTCCCTTGTCCATTGATTATCCTTCCAACTTGGTGGGAACCACTGGAGTCATTCAACCCCTTCTAGGCCACCCCCCTCCATCCAGGGTTTGAAGTGAGACTACAGAGCTCAGTGACCCACTTCATGTAAGATTTCTTCTATGTCCAAGCACTCCTCATTCTCATGCAGTTGCCATTGCTGCCGACACGGCAATTATTAACACGGCCATCTAAGTGCCTTTTAATTTTGCTGCACATTTATTTGAACTACAGTCTGAGTCACCTGGGATGTGTTAGGAAAATTAAATTGAGGATTCCAGTGACTCATTTATAAATGTTTCCTGGGAATGGCAAGAAATTGGAGGGCCATTTCCCACCAAAAAACAGAGCTCTGGCTTCTTGCCCAGAAGGCATCTGCTGACTCTCAGGGTACACCCTACAATGCATCTTTATCAGGGTGAAATAAATAGGAAGACTCCTCATCTCCAGGGATAAATCCAGCCTGGGCGAAGAAGCAAGAATGGACCTACAACGACAGTGAAAGGTCATTTTGGCTACATGTGTTTTTGTTTATTTGTTTTATTATATGATAATATTTATAAATTGGGAGATTTTCTATAAAACTTAGCATTTTTGTCTTAGCTTTAAAAATCTAGGCCTTTCCTATAAGGCAATAATCAATTGGGTTTTACCAATGACTATCCCCAGTTAGTCAGTGTATGGGCTGTTCAGTTCAACACAGGACTTAGACCCCCTTATATTCTTCTTCCATCTGGCTCTCTTCAACTCATTTATATTTCTTGCTAGGCTCTGGAAGATGCTTGAGTATGAGGCTTCTGCATGTTTCGTGGCTTCGAGAAACTTCTTCAAACTCTCTAGGCCTAGATTTCTTCTCCCAGAAAGAAGGCAAGAAAGCTATGGTCTCCTGAGCTCCTTCTAGCCAAGACTTGCAACAAGTGGCTTCCATGTGTTCTCAAATTTGAATAAACATGGGATGTTGGTAAATTGGCCTCTCCTAACCTGGCTGGTGGGCACCACTGCCCCCATGGCTAGAATTAGCCATAAAGTCAATTCGTCTGATGTCTCCTATGTGCAAAGTACTTGCAGATCTTAAAATTCTAGAGCCTGAAAGACCTTTTAAAGAAATTACTTGCACACTCTTGTTCTATATATTATGAAACTATGAAGAGAGCTTTACAGCATGACATTGCAATGAGTGGCAGGATCTCACCTGGTGCTGGCTTAGGGCTGACCAACAACCCAATAGCTGTTTGCTGAATAGATGATTAAAAAGCCAGAATCCAAACCCAGGTTCCATGCTGCCCCTAAATTTGTGCTATCCCAGATATTTCCAGCTCTGATATGGTGACTCTAAGAGCTAACACTGAATTTTCTGATGAAATTAATCTTCATTCAGTGTCAATAAAATATGCATATAGAGGACAACAATAGAGATAGGAAGAGAAGTAGAAACACAGATTGCCAACAGCAATTTTAAAAGAAAGGAGGTGGAATGGATTAACAAGCTGTGGTGTATGGATACCATGGAATACCGTTCAGCCACTAAAAAGATGGAGACTTTACATCTTTTGCATTAACCTGGATGGAACTGAAATACATTCTTCTTAGTAAAGCATCCCAAGAATGGAGAAGCAAGAATCCAATGTACTCAATTCTGATATGAAGACAATTGATGACTTAGTACATGGTGGGGAGTGGGGAAATTGGGGGAGTGGACAGGAGGGAGTAGGGTGAGGAGTCACGGTGTGTGACACACCTCTTTGGAAATGGGACACAATTATAAGGACTTTACCTGATAAATGCAATCAGTGTAACCTGGTTCTCTGTACCTTCACTGAATCCTCAACAATAAATAAAATAAAATAAAATAAAATAAAGGAGGTGGTTTGTAAAACAAGTTCCCTGAGCATTGTATCCAGATGTGTCCTTCTCACTTCCCCAGTTTAGCAAAGGAAAGCTAGGAGGAGAGCATATTGTAGATAAGGGCTATGATTCTCCCGCCAGGAGCACGTGTGTCTGACTAGGGGAATCTGGAAGAGTCAGCACTTTCAAGGCCCCATGATGTGAGATTGCTGGTGAGATTTCTCTTCAAGAAGCCACTTGCCCTGATCATCACTGCCACACTTGTTGGGTACAACAATTGAGACTCAAGGAACAAAGCCTATCAGAGTCTCTCAGGCCCAGGATCTGATCCAAAAAATCCAAGGTCCCATTCCTCCCAGGGTATGTCCTGGACTCCCTTCTAAAAGGCCAACTCATCCCACATCATCCACAATTCAAGCTGTTTCTTTGGGGACTGCACACATTTAATAGGAAATTAAACTTGACAGCAGAGCTCTTCAAAGCCCAATTTTGATTCATTAACAGTGGGATTTCAGGATAAACCATAGGCGTAATCCCACCAATCACCCTCCCTCCACCCAGCCTCCCCCCTCCCCTCCCTCTCTCCTTTCCCCATATTCTTGAGCTAAAATTGGGTTATAGTTTTTCTATGAAAGCTATAAATTAGTTTCATAGTAGGGCTGAGTACATTGGATACTTTTTCTTCCATTCTTGAGATACTTTGCTAAGAAGAATATTTTCCAGTTCCATCCATGTAAACATGAAGGAGGTAAAGTGTCCATCTTTCTTTATGACTGCATAGTATTTCATGGTATGGTTTATCTTATAAGAGTACATGTGAATCTCTCTAAATGTAGAATATAAACGTCTTAACACAATAACTAAGAAAATGACATGAAAGCTATGTTAACCAGTTGGATGAAAGTATTTCAAATTGTATATAGCAACATCACTCTGTACTCCATGATAGCATTAATGTACACAGATATGATTTAATAAAGAAAAAGTGGGATTTCAGCAAGTATCAGCAGGGATGCAAGAGATATCTGGGGTATCATGAAAAGTGGACAGGAAGGCCTTCCTGGCTCTTCCTGCAGCCAACAGTGGCCCAGCCCTCTCAGCCACAGGCCCCACCACCCAGAGTAACTCACTGATGAGGGCTGTCACAATCTCCTCCATGCTCTCCAGGAAGCTACTGAGGTGTTGAGTGAAGGGAAGATGTGGGGAGGTGACCTGAGCCACCACTGCAGCCGCCTCAGCCCGCGTGGCCTCTGAGTGGCTGTCATCAGTCAGGATGTCAGCCAAGCACAAAACGCCGTCCACCTGCAGATGGAGAGAGGGAGCTTCCCTGTGCATGGGGGAGGGCATCGCTGCTCATGATGTTAATGACACAGATCGAGACCCCCTACGCTGGCTTCCCAGAACAGCCCAGGGCCCCGTGTGGAGCCATGGGCAACCAGGTGACAAGGCCTCCAGAATGATCCATAGCACCTGGGAGCCTCTCCTTTGAGTCCAGCACAGGTCAGTGACCTCCCATAGGCTTTCTGGATAGCAGACATCAAGCCAAATATCCAGAAGCTGGACCCTGGTCATCTACCACAGCAAAAGGTAATAGAAAGAGCAGTCACTTAGCAATGACTGGCCCGCCTTTCCTTGCTATCTGACTTGCCATCAGTCACTTAGCCTCTTTAAGATTCTGCCTCATTAACAGGGTATCAGGGGATTAAGGAGACAAAGCAGGCAATGCCTGATCCAGAAGAGACCCTCAAGAAGTGCTGGCTCCTCCTCTCTTCCTTGGATTTAGCAACAGGCTAGGTTCAATCTTCCTTTCCCTATCTTGTCCTGCACCATCCTCCCCACAGAAAGAGGGGTGCTGCTTCCCTGCTAGCCTTGCTCTTGGTCCTTACCAGTGAGGAGCAGCCTGGTGGGCCAGATAAGGACATCAGCTAGCTTCCCAGCACTGATCAGGCCTGCTCTCGGCATGCAAATTGAGGCTTACTGAGTGCTTACAATGTGCCAGGCACCACTCTAAGTAGAATACATACGTTATTACTCCATCTACTCCTTACAATAACCTTCTGAGGTCAGTATTATTTATCCCCATTTTACAGACGAGGAAACCGAGACAGAGAAAGTTCCACTGACTTTCTCTTGATCACAAACTTTAAAAGTAGTTGGTTTAGGATTGGAACCTGAGTGGGTCTGGCTTTAAAGCCCAGCTTTTTTTTGGAGACAAGAGTCTTACTCTGTCACCCTGTGTAGACAGAGTGCTGTGACATCATCATTGCTCACAGCAACCTCAAACTCTTGGGCTCAAGCAATCCTCTTGCCTCAGCCTCCTGAGTAGCTGGGACTACAGGCACCTGCCACAACCCCTGGACTCATTTTTCTATTTTTAGTAGAGATTGGGTCTGGCTTTGCTCAGGCTGGTCTTGAACTCCTGAGTTCAGGTGATCCACCCACCTCGGCCTCCCTCAGTGCTAAGATTACAGGTGTGAGCACCACGTCTGGCCTTAAAGCCCAGATTTTGAGCAGGATGTTACACTGCCTTCTGAGAATGGCACCTGAGCTCAGCCCTGCAGCCTCAGTCAAGGGGTCAGCACATGAGAACTGTTGGAGAACAAGGGCAGTAACTTGTCAAGGTTAGCACAAAGGTACGATTGCAGCCCCTAGATTGCAGCCCCTGAGGACCCTGCCACCAAGCACCAAAAAGTCCTTCCCTGGTTAGGAGTGGGAGGTAGGAAACGGTGAAGGGTAGCCTGTGCTAAGACTCAGGCTTCTGTCCCTGCCTCTTGCCACTCAGCTCTGGTGGGTCTCCAGAGGTCTGCGTTTTGTTTGACTAATTACCACCTCTGAGTTCTGTGCCTCCCTTAAATGGCTCTTGGGAACTGTAAGGTCCATTAGCTATGAAAGCCTTTGGCAATCTCAGGCTCAAAGGAGACAAATGTGGAAACAGGAGCCCAGGGAACTGTCTGCAATAAAATTCACCTGGATGTGCTTAATAAAAGGGAACACACAGCTGCCGGGCAGCCCCCGGCAGGACTGGATTCACGCCAGGTGCTTCACTAACAGGCCCTCAGAGAGGGGCCTCATTTGGGCCCAGGGAAGAGAAGGGGGGGCTGCTCTGGGCCTAGAAACAGGAAGCACCCCTGTTGCCAATACAAGAAGGCTCTCAGCCTTCCTGGCCTTCTTCATCTTCCTCCTTCCAGCACCAATCAAGCCCTTTTCTAAGAAGCTACAGAATCTCTAATGGGGAATGTCTCAGTCACTCCAGTCTCCTTAATCTTAGTTGCAGATGCTACCCTGGTCCCCGACTCAGGTGGGAACACTGGTCAAACTCACCAGCATCCTGCCCTAGTCGCCAGCATGCACATGAAGATAAGCCAAAGTGAACCCTCGGAGAGACCAAGAACTTGATGATCCCGAGGCCTGGTGCCACCCACGGACTGGCTCCAGCCCACTCCCCAGTCCAGAATTCAGCTCTGCAAACCCACTGAGTAAAACTGTGAGCTCACATTGCATGCCAGGCCTCCGGGCTGAAGGAAAGGTGCACCAGGAAAAATGCCCCTCACATTTGGCCCCCTCACAGGGACGGTGACTTCCCACAAGGAGGCTCTACAGCTAGGCCTCCTGATGGTGGAAGCTGCCTCTGATGTAGGCCCACGCCTCAGCAGGAAGGTGTCTCCTTGGGGCACCCACACACTTCTGCCACCATCACAGCATGTAGCACACTGATGGGCCCTGATTCTTCAAGTGAGGCCTGCGGACCAACTGCATCAAATCCAGGAAGAGTTTCTTAAAAGCAGATTCCTGTGCCCCACACAGACCTACCCCATGAAAATCTCTGGGGGAGGCCTGGGAATCTGCCGATTAACAGGTGCACAGCTGACCTGCATGCACCAGCGATTTGGAAAAGCACTACCATAGTGTGACTCTCTGTCTGGTTCCCCTGTTCCCCTGCCACTTTGGCAAGCCTGGGGACCACAGCTTGTTCACTCTTGGCTGCTCCAGGCCTGGCACATAGTATAAGCTTTCGGTAAATGGAGAATGGATGCAAGAAAGTAAACTCTGACCTATGACTTGAGGATGCATTTCAGACAAGGGAAGGCAGGGGAATGGGCCTGCTGACGGAGGGAATATTGTGAGCGAAGGCCATTATAGGAGAAGACAGTACTGGAGAGATAGCTAACGTGAGGACAGAAGTCCCACAGATTCTTGACCACAGGCAAGCACTCCCAGCCTGATATGGGCCCCGATTCCTTTGCTGCCCCTGGGTTTCCCAGAGGACCTGCGGAGTCCTGTCTACACAGTCACCAATTGCTTCTTCTCTTGCTTTCCTTCTAACTTATTTCATAGGCGTCAGATCTCTTTTGGTAATTTATTAGTTATGAAACAAATCATCCCTCCAAAAGAGAGAAAATTTGTCAAATGTATAAAGTATAAACAATAATAAAGTGAACACCTATACATGTATATGTATATGCCCAATATCCGAAAATTCTAAAGGAAATTCAAAAAGAAAAAGAAGTCACCTTGTCTGCCTTTCTAAATCTAATATTTTTACTTTCCCATGCAGGATGGGCCACTACTCTGAGTTTCGTGGTTATTATTTCCTCATTTTCTTTTGAGATTTAGTGCCTGTACATACTGTTTGGTTTTACAAGGTTTTCTACTTGACATAAGTGGTATCATATTGTTTATGGCACTTTGTTTGTTCTCCTGCAGTCAGCATTATGTGTATGAAGCTCCTTCCTGGCGTTGCATGTGGCTAGAGTCCATTTATTTTCCCTGTTGTATGGTATTTCATTGAACAAATCAATTGCAATCTACCTCTGCATCCTCTTGTCTACAGGTGTTTGAGTGGTTTCCCAGTTTCTGCTGTTATAGACAGCGCTGCTATAAATAATCCTTCTAAATGTCTTCTGGGGAACATATGCCAGTTTCTCCAAAGGTATCAATTTGGGAGTGGAATTCCTGGGGCATAGCGTTTGCATATCTTTACGTTTACTGGTGTTGCCAAATTGTTTTGCAACATGGTCGCAGCAATTTATACTCCCACCAGCAATATATTAACATATATTGATATTGTCAGATTTTTAAATGTTTGCCAATTCAGTGGGTGCAAAAATTATATTTTAACAGGCATGTCTCCACTTACTAATGAGGTTGAGAATCTTTTTACATCATTTTGTTTTGCTGGGATTTACTTTGGGATTTACTTTTGGGTTTTTGTCGATTAGATTTCCTCTACTATAAATTTCCTGTTCATATGTTTTTGCTCACCTTTCTATTTGATAGCTTTTCATAGGCCAAATTTCTCTGACCTTTGACGCTGATGCTGTCGACCTGTCACTTAGCCTGCTGCCAGCAGGCTGCCTCCTACCCAAGTTGATCTTAGTATCAACCACCATCTTGGCAACTCCAACGCGACCCAGCTCACCACAGTGGGCGGCCACTGAAGGGCCCCACGCCCGTGGGCTCTAGGCTTTCCAGCTCCTGAGCCGACTCTTATAGGTTCCTAACATGCACAGCCATTGGACTCCAGCCTACCCAGGTCTGAATCCTGCCTCTGGCCCTTACTAATGAAATAATTTCCTTGCCTACTTTGAGTCTAAATGGGTATAATAATGCCAGTCTCATGTGGGGTTGTTTTTCTTTAAATAACAGGGATAAAAATATCGACCTCACAGGACATTTGAAATCATTAAATGAGAGACTGCCTACCACATGGTGGCGCCATCCTTCTCCCCCTCTCCCACATGGTCGCTTGCAGTCATCCACCCTAGATGCGGGCCCCAAAATCCTAGCTCACCCACTTCTGCCTGCCCCATCTTCCATCAGGGCTGCTCTCTGGGGCTGCTGTCTGCACACACTTTCAAATTGGGGCCCACTTGTGTGACATCTTCTGATTCCTGACCACAAACAATAGCACACACAATTACCAACCCCGGAAGGAAAGAAAGAGGACACAGTACTATCCCTGATTTCTATAGTTCAACACACATTTCCAGAGCACCTACACCACAGACCTGGGCGCTGACACAAAGATGAAGCAGGAGTGAGGCAGAGAGGGAGAGACAAAGGCGGACAGAAACAAAATATTGAGAGGCTGAGATGAAGGGTGGGGTGGAAAGGGGTAGGAGGAAGGGAGAAATTACATGTTTCCAAAGGATTTGGGAAACCACTGGAAGCAAACCCTGCCTCTCAGCCCTCTCCCCCTTGGCCTCTCAGTAAGCCCTGCTCCTGCTGAGAATTCTCTCAGCCTTGGCCCACTCTCCTCTGGGAGGGATCCTCCCCTCTCTAACTAGCTACCTCTAACCTTT